GCCCTGCCCTGGGACATTTGGCAATGTCTGGAGACATTTTTGGTTGTCACACCATGGGCAGGGGGTGCTACTGGCATCTAGTGGGTAGAGGTGAAGGATGCTACTAAACATCCTACAAGGCACAGGACAATCCCCACAACAAAGAATGATCTGGCCCAAAATGTCAGTAGTTCAGAGGTTGAGAAACTGAGTTTATCATGATCCCAAGTTGCTGAAATTTCACTTTTTTTGTTTGCTAAACTCGTTTCCTTGTGTTATTGTCCTTGACTTTCACAAAATAAAATTATATTGAGTCATGAGAATATACATTATTTCAGCCCTTTATTTTAGTTTTTAATTGAGGCAAGAGGGAGGATGTTCTTTTATTCACTGTCAAGTGTGAGATTAATTTAGTGTTAATATCAGTAAATTTGGCTCAAAGAATTTTTTACCTTGATGCATATAACAACATGATATTCCCAAGATTGAGCCTGAGGCCATTATTATCTTCACTTGGGACTTAGGTATACCTTGTATTAAATTTCAAAATGAACTTTGAGTAATAAATAGAAAGTATTAGTTCTTTCAAATGGTGACTTGAGAAAGTTTCAGATACTCTGTCTTATCTGAATCAACTCTTAATCCTAAAATTCGGCTTATATCTGCTACTCTTCAGTGCCTAATGACTTTGGGCAGAATTTGAAAAGTGATACTTAAAACTTAATCCTCAAGTATTGGTAGATACAAAACTCCACCATGAGAGTAAGGAAATGCATATGCTAGTTCTAGTATACCACTTGCTTTCTGCTTGAGCTCTGGCAGTCTCGCCGTATTGTGAGTGAAGCTAAAGGGATTTGGGATTCCTAGTAAATGAAAGTGTATAGTAAATATCAATAATCATATTTGAATTTCAAAATGATAAAAGTTGATCCTGGATGACTGTCAGTGTTTTTTTCTTTTTAAGATTTTAACTTATTTTGATTCTTTAAAATGCTCACAGTGAAACAGAGCTCTAGGCAGACTGAAAATTAATATTTGTTGGAAAACAATTTTGTAGAAGGAAATGGATCCTGGCAATAAACCCATGCTATCGTTTGTTAATTCCACCAACTTCCTTCTCTTGAGTTTGTTTTCTCTAGTGACTCTTCACAGGCTTTCTTACATAAAAAGTTCTCGTAAAAGCCTTAGGTTTTCAATTAGTTTTACTTTCAATTTTACCTTATGATTGCTTCCTTTTCTGCTTTAATTCAATATTATTCTAACAGCTGGGCAGGAGACGGTGCATAAGAACTTTTGATTTAATACACTTCAGAATTAAGTCCCCGTTTGGAATAATATTTCAATTTAATTTGATTACAGTTGTTTAGTATTTGTTTGATAATTCATTTTATGAACCATTTGAGCCCTGAAAGTGTTGTAGGTATTGAGAAAGCTTTATCATTATTAATTCATAATGTGTTTAATTTATTAAGCATCATATTTAATTCACTGTGTATTGAGGATTTGAGGAGTATAAGACACTGTGCTAGATGTGCAGGATACAGAAGGCATGGGCCTCACCATCTTGCGGTCTTTCAGACTGGTTAGTAAGTGGTACATTGAAGAAGAATTAAATAGCAGCCAAAGGGTTCATGTTTCTGTAATCATGCTGTCCACAGTGAGATTAGAGATAGAATTAAGGTTGGAGAGACCCTAAAGATGACGTACTCCAATTCCTCTTTTCATAGATAGAGAAACTGAGGCCCAAGGAGGTGACAAACATAGTATACCCACTAATTACAACTTCATAGAAGCAAATGATCATGATTATAAACATGAGAAGGAGGTTTGAAATTGTGTAATATAAAGTTTACAGTTCACAGTGTTTATTTTGTTTTAGAAAATAGGAGAGATGAACTGTTCAGAGGGCCTAATTAAAAATTAATACTAACCATCAGTGTTTATCATGTGCTTGACACTGTACTTTAATTATTAATTCACCAACAACAGAATGAAGTAGATATTATTCTCCTCATTCTAAAACTAATAATATCTAAAATTTATTGAGCCCTATTAAGTGTCAGGTTAAGTATTTTACTTACGGTATCTCATTTGAGCTCCTTAAGAAGCCTATGAGGTAAATGCTATTATTACTCCATTTACTGATGAGAAAACTGAGATTTAGCAAGTTATGTGAATTCCCCAAGGCCATTTACTTAGTATTAGAGTTAGGATTTAGACCCAGGTCTACTTGACTTCATAGTCTCTGCCCTCAGCACCTGGCTTATAGTTGTATTAGGAAATTCTGCCCTTTAACATGATGTATCTTAGTTTCGTGCTTTTTGGTGAAAATATTGGAACCTAGATGTGGATAGCAAAGGTACAGATTTTGTCAGGTGTTTTGATGGCGCTGGTCTTAATATCAGGATGTAAGAAGGTGAACTTGAGGTAGAGTAGGAGAAATGAGCCACTAGGAGAACAGATTTTTAAAATTCTTTAGTCTGAATGGTTTGAGGACTAAAAACAAAGGCTTTGCCAAGTTATATCATCCAGTTGCATATATTGTGTGAGAATCTGCCAATATACAACAATTTTGAATATTTAAGCCTTGATTACCTATTTACTCAGTATCCATGTGCCAATATTGTCCTTGGTGCCTTGGTGCTAGAATACAGAGGATGTCATACTTGCCCTCAATATGGTCAAATCTATATACTTGCTACAGTAACTTATTCTTCTACAGCCAGCTTATATAGTACAGTAGTCCAACTCACTGCTCTTTGGCTGGCAAGAACAAAGTACGAAGACAGTGCGGGGAATGGTTGTTTGGGAGAAAGGATCAGGTGATGCCTCACAATGAGGTGACATTTAAGCTGGAACTTAAAACAGGATAAGCACATCATTCAGGGGATAATGAGGGAGGAGAAAACAATATGAGCTAAAGTGTAAGATATGAAAGTGTATGGTTTGTTCAGGGAGCAACAGATGTCTTTGTGGCTAGGCCATAAGGTGAATAAGCCCAGATGGGTGGGTTGGGGTTAGGTTATAAAAGACCTTCTGTGTCTAGCTAGGAGTTTGGACTCTATATTCTGGGCAGTAGGGAAACACTAAAGTTTGTTGCGTTAGTTGGGTATATCCAGATGTGTACAAAAGTAGACAATATGATGAACCATCTTGAACCTATCACCCAGCTTCAACAGTTATTAACTCATGGCCAATCTTGTTTTATTTATGGCCCCTACTCTCCCCCATATTTGAAACAAATCTCAGACACTATATTATTTCATCCATAAATATTTCACTTTGTATCTCATTAAAAAGTATCAAGTATCCAGTTAATGTTTAAATTTCCAGTGGTTAAATAATTGTCGAACTTGGGCTCTGGTAGATTTAACTTTTTGAAACAGATTTCTGTTTCCTGACATTTCTCTTAAGTCTCTCTCTCTTTCTTTTTTTTTTTTTTTTACTGAGGAAGATTCACCCTGAGCTAACATCTGTCACCAGTCTCTCTCTGTATGTGGATGGCCACTGACGAGTGGTGTGTGTCTGCGCCCTGCGTCTGAATCCACGAACCTGGGCTGCTGAAGCATAGTGCGCCAAACTTAACCACTAGGCCACTGGGCCGGCCCACATTTCTCTTAAGTCTCTTAATGTGTAGGTTCTTCATTCAGCTCTCTCTTTCCCCACCTTGTAATTTATTTGTTTTTTTTCGTGAGGAAGATTTGCCCTGAGCTAACATCTGTGCCAGTCTTCCTCTATTTTGTATGTGGTTTGCTGCCACAGCATGGCTTGACAAGTAGTGTAGGTCTGCGCCTGGGATCTGAACCCGTGAACCTGGGGGCACCGAAGTGGAGCACGCTGGACTTAACCACTATGCCACAGGGCCAGCCCCCGTAATATATTTGTTGAAGAAAATTAGCTGTTTGTCTTGTGGAGTTTTGTACAGCTTGGATTTTGCTGAGTGCATCCCCCTCGTGTTGTTTAACATGTTCCCTTATTTCCTGTATTGAATCTAGAGGCTTCATCAATTCAGGTTCGTTTTTTGTGGAAAGACTGCTTTATGTTCTTTCATCAGGAGGCATGTAAATGCCACCTTTATTCTTTAATTTCTTAGGGATTACAAAATGATGCTATTTGTCTTGCTTACTCAGCAAAGTTGAAGAATTCCACAGGTCAGATCAGGGATCCATTGTGTCTTATTTAAATCTATTTTAGGACTGAACTGACTTATAGTAGAGAGTCAATATTTATTGGCCACTCAGGGTGAGAGATCTTGGGTTAATATTTGTTTATTATTTGACTTATATAAGTTACTAACGTTTCCCTCTTCTTAGTCTTCAATAAACTAGCTCTTTGTGGTATTTTATGTAAAAGCAATCTCTATTAATGAATACATCTAGAAAGTTTCCACTTGTGATCTTTAAATAGTTTCCATCAAAATGGAGCTGATGTGGTTTAGAAGATACATAAGCTCTGGAAAAGATTCTAAATATCTGTTGTTTTACAGGCTTCTTTCATCTCACAATGTTTTACCCCAATCACATATCCACACAAGTGCTTCTCTTGACATTTCTCGAAAATGGGAGAAGAAGAATAAAATTGTTTATCCTCCACAACTTCCTGGAGAACCTCGGAGACCAGCAGTAAGTTTGTGGGTAGAACTAATCTCTTAATTTTGATAAAGAGCTCTTACTCTTACGTGGCTAGCAATGATTTATTATTCCATGTTAAGAAAAGAAAAAATTATACAGCAATTTGCATGATCCTTTGATACAGAAAATGTTCTAGACTTATGTTTTTGGTAGTTTAAAAAGATTGTCTTTGTTTTACTTACTTGTTTGCCTTGACTTAACCTCCTGAATAGGGACCTTAACTCTAAAACTAAGCTAATAACTTGAGACATACTGACTGATTTGTGACTCCAAGAGGCTTGATAATGGATTCTTGATAATGGAGCATGAGGAGTTGGCAAGAATGACTTCAACTATTGGCCAATATTTAAATCATATACATCGTTTTCCAATGTTTTGTATTTGAATATAGACATACTTGGTTGTGGGTTTTGTTTTTTGTTTTTGTAATTCACAAACCTTTGAACCTAAGGTTTGAATTTAATCATTGGATTCCTTCCAGAGATTGAGTTTTATCTTATCTTTAGCTGCTCAGAATTCTTTTACCCTCTCCAAACTGCTAGAGATTGCTCTAGTCTGAGAAATAAGACTAATTTCCAGCCTAACATGAATTTGCTGTGGAATACCTCCACATCTGTTAAAAAATTTAAGCAAGTAATAATAGCATAAGGAAGATGGGAACAGTTGAATCCTTAAGAAAATAAACTGTGATAAGTACTTTCAAAATAAAATTACTGTGTTAATTAAAAATCATTCAGTTCAGCAAACATCTTTTAAAGGCTTTTGGGATTTAAGGCTACTGGATAATCAATATCTAAGTAGTGTCATTTGCTTAGTTTTTATATGAATTGACAACATGCATTTCATTAAGATTCAATTGCTGTGTGAGTATTGGTCTGAATTAGTAGTTTTATATATATATTTTTCTTATTTAGGGGAGTTAATTTATTGATTTAAAGAGCTCCCACCTAATTGGGAAATAAGAGGAAAAAGAGATACTAATAGTTATAGAACTAACTTTTTAACTTTCATACTTTATCATGCCGTCAGATCTTAAAAGTTAGATTTGTCACAGGATCTGTGCTTTTAAGTATTGACTTCATTTTGTAATTAACCCAAATTTAGAAGTTACACATTTGTATAAATATCATAAATAAAATATTTCCTATAATTAATGAGCTTTCTTTAATTCTTACCTGAGCTCTTTGAACTTAGATATTAATTGGAAATAAAGAAATCATAATAGTATTTGTCAGGTCCAGAATATAAAAGCAAAATTTTGTAATATGTAGTACCAGTCTTTTTAGATATTAAAATAAATGTACTTCGGGATACATGCCAAATGACAAGATCCACTTAGTGGATCATCTACTTAACTCGAGCAAATGAAGGACAATGTAATCCAGTCATTGGTTATATATTGTATTTACTGAAACTATTTTGATTAACTTTTTTGTATCATATAAACTCCTTATACAAGTGTCTGTGTGAAGACATTTGGTTTCATTTTTATATAGGCACTTGGGAGAAACGAAATTTAATTCTCTATTTTGCACAGATTTTGTTGTGTAAGTAATCCTTTTGGGGACAGATTATGACTTTTGGAAAATACCTTATTTTCTGACTTTAAATAGTATTTGGTAAATTGACATTGGTGCATCAGTTATACCTGCTATGACTGAAATATTAATGTCCTTCATAAATCCCTAGCTTATTAATGGGGAATAATTTGCTCATCTAGCCACATATTTCATATACTGTGCCATTATGTGCAGTGTCCCTTTGACTTGCCAATCTGCTAGCTGCAAACATTTTAAAAATTAGTTTTATCTCTAGTTTAAAAGAGGGCCAGATAATAATTTACAGTTCTACCTCATTCTGATCTTCAGCATTGGAGTATGTAGTTAAACAAATAATAGTGGGTGGGGTAGTGAAGAAATCCTATAGCAGGAAGTTAAAATGAATGTCACCAATTTAGGCACGTTTTAGGCCACTCCTAATACATATTTTTAAGGCTACCTTCCTCATTTAGCTAGCACCAATTTCTAAACAATATATATGCCTATGTAGACTTTATCATACATGTGGCCTCACCGTGGTAGAGAAAATAAGCCAGAGAGAAATTAAATGGCTTTCTTCATAATAACCAGACCTTGTTAATTTGCGCTTGAGTTTACTTTTGCAATATCTCTGAAAGCAGCTATGTTAAATAAATTAAAATTTAATGAGACTATATCAAACCTGTTTGAACAACCATTTCTATAAGAGGCATATTTTTAATTTATGGATTAATTGACGTACTGATAATAAGTCGTGCTTATAAGTCATTCATGTAGATCCCATAAGGTTCTGGTAAGGACTGTTATTAGGTGATGTCATTTGAGTTATTATGTGCATTTAAAAATAAATTAACTTCTTTAAAATTTACTGGTTTAGGGGCCGGCCCCATGGCATAGTGGTTAAGTGCGCACGCTCCGCTGCTGGTGGCCCAGGTTCGGATCCCGGGCGCGCACCGACACACCGCTTGTCAGGCCATGCTGTGGCGGCATCCCACATAAAGTGGAGGAAGATCTGCATGGATGTTAGCTCAGGGCCAGTCTTCCTCAGCAAAAAGAGGAGGATTGGCAGATGTTAGCTCAGGGCTGATCTTCCTCACAAAAAAAAGTTACTGGTTTAGACATTTCATAATTTAGACTTTTACTTCGTTTGAATAACTATTTTGCACATTATATCCTAACTTAACTTTACCTAATTTACTGGATAGGTTAGTTAATAGCAGTGATATTTAACCACACCTTCTGACCTCCAACTTCACCACTCTGTCTATTTGCCATGATGGGTTTATTTACTGAGATTTTTGTCTGGTTTATCTTTAGAAAGTGCCCTTAGACATTGTACCTGCCTAAAGTAAATGTTGAGCTTTTTAATTTTAGAAGAGGAGGTTGAATAACTTCCCCCCCTTTTTTTGTAAACACTTGATTTCTTTTTTCCCATGTTCTTGCCAGGATTACATTATCTTTTTTACAAAATTTGAAGATAATCATAAACAATTCAGGTTTAAGATAGCCCACCGTGGGAAAGAATTGAAGAGGTTTCTATATAAAAGATTTTATTGAGTGTATTAATTTTTGCAGATTAATATTATCAGTCATGACAGTTGTTCTTTCCTCTCCTGTGCTCCCCAGGACATTTTATTGCTGAAAATGTGATTAGGCTATTGCTACAGTTTTTAGACTGTCAGTTTCTTTTTTTTTTTTTTTTTAAAGATTTATTATTTATTCAGTTTTTTCCCCCCAAAGCCCCAGTAGATAGCTGCATGTCATAGGTTCACATCCTTCTAGTTGCTGTACGTGGGACTCGGCCTCACGTTGGACGGAGAAGTGGTGCCTCGGGGCGCCCCCGGGATCCGAACCCGGGCCGCCAGCATCAGAGCGTGCGCATTTAACCACTAAGCCACGGAGCCGGCCCTAGACTGTCAGTTTCTTTTGCAAGTGAAATGAAATCTGCCACATATTAAAAGATAGCCACTTGAGAAAACTGCCATTTCCAAGGCATTTGAAAATTTCCAGCAGGAATCAGAATGTTAGAAAGTTCTAAGATCTCCTTGCTATTGTTTTTCTTGACACATATTTTCTTATTTTTCAAAAGTGGCAATGTGATGTAGTAGTGGAAAGAATGTGGGTTTTAGAGTCATAAGGGAACTTGAAAGATACACCTGCCAGACATTGTATTAGGCACTTCACGTTCTTCCCTGTATGGCACTTTAACTTCTAGCTTTGTCTCTTATAACCTGTGTGGTCTTGGGACAAGTCACTTGATTTCTCTAATTTTCACTTTGTAAAAGGATTATAAAATGTTTCCTCTCCCAACTCATAAAGTTAGGTCAAATGAAATAATGGGCTTGAAGAGTGCTTTGTGAACTATAAATTGTTTAATGGATAATTGATTAAAAAAATTAAATAGGATATACCTACCACTATAAATAGGAGATAAAAGCTAAGATTTACTAAGATTTACCATGTGCTAGGCACTGTAAAGTGCTTTCTTTACATAGGTTATTTTGTTTAATCCTTATTACAGTTTTATGAAGTAGGTACTGTTATCTTCATTTTAAAGAAGAGGAAACTTCAGCAGAGAGAGGTTGAGTAGCTTGGGTTCTATAGCTAATACGTGGTAGAGCTGGGATTCAAACTCAGGCAGTCTGATTCTAGAATCTATGCTCTTTACCAAATACCTAGAATATTGGCTTTCCTATGTAAACAGTCATTTTGTCCATTTCACCATTGTTCACTGACAGGAAAATTTTTGTTGTTGTTGTTGTACCTTTCATTTAGTTCTTTTAGCCAGCTAAATGTTTTCAAAATACTTTCATTTAAATCTTTTGCTATTCCTCTGGATAGAAATGTTGCAAATATTGGCACAAACTAGCCATTTTATAGTTTCTATTTCTCCCTTAGTAATCTTTTTACGTAGTGAGACTGGAAAAATATAACTTTCTGTAGGGAAAAAGAATCTCCAGATTCTTAATAATGTTTATATTTCTTGTATCAGCATTTTCATTAAGCCTGGAAAGTAAAAACTTTATTAACAGTATGTTACTATCATTTGATAAACTTGCTCAAGTTTTTTTCCCCCCTTATTTCTAAGGAAATCTACCATTGTCGAAGGCAAATAAAATACAGCAAAGACAAGATGTGGTATTTGGCAAAATTGGTAAGCTAAAGTGATTATTACCATATGATACTTAGGAAAAGGAGCTATGAATTTCCCCTCAGGATTTGAAAAATCAAAAAAATTTGATTTCTTCAAAAGTGAGGAATATGATTATGTGTTCAAACAATTGGTAAGTATTCCAAAAATGATTGCTCAGAGATGAGTGATTTTGTTTAATTTTTACCTTTCTTCTGAGAGCTTAAATCATGTTGGATACATAGATATTTAAAACAAAGGCATCAGGGGGCTGACCGGTGGCCTAGTGGTTCAGTTTGTGCGCTCCACTTCAGCGGCCTGGGGTTTTTGGGTTCAGATCCTGGGTGCAGACCTACACACTGCTCATCAAGCCATGCTGTGGTGGCATCCAGTATACAAAATAGAGGAAGATTGGCACAGATGTTAGCTCAGGGCCAATCTTCCTCACCAAAAAGAAAAAAAGAAAAAAAAACAAAGGCATCAGAAATCTGACTATAACCATTGAATCCAGGAAGCAAGCTTACTTACTGTAAAATTTGATTCAACATATTTCAAAACTGTTGCTTTTTAAATGTTTTTTCCCCTGGAAAATGAAATTTATATATGAAAGGAGACAAAAGCAGCAAATATACATGTAATACATTTATCCTGTAGGAAAAGATGCCTTTAATGCCTAGTGTGGTTCTTGACAATCTGTGATCTCTCTCTGTCATGTGTGCTCTCTCTTTTAATATTACTGAAACTATTATGATCTAGATTTTATGGTCAAAATGTTTGTTTGATTTTGACTTAAAGACAGTGGAATCGTTTCTCAAACTTGTTTTCTTCTCTTTTGCCTGAATTTATTTAGCTATTTTTAAAAATTTCCTCCCAGTTTTATTGAGTTATAGTCGACATATAACTAGTTAGCTATTTTTAGAAGTTATTTGGATCATGTAAGGCTTTTACTTTTCATTGAAAAGGCAACATTGACTTTGTAAACTAATTTGTTTATTTTCTCTTGTCTGTTACCCTTTAATTCTAGATACGAGGAATGTCCATTGACCAGGCTTTGGCTCAGTTGGAATTCAGTGACAAAAAAGGGGCCCAAATAGTTAGAGAGGTAAACTAAGATTTGACGGGAGAGAGTGCATAGCTGTCAGCCTAAATCCTGAATTCCCTGAATTTCCGGGTGTAAATGCATAGTTTATATAATATAGATTTAAAGCACTCAGTTTTACTAATGTCCTTGTATCTTAGGAATATTGCATGTTTTAAGTATTTTTTTTTTCCTGAGGTGCTTTTATTTGCACCAGACATTTATTTATTATTTACTGTCTGTTTATGAAGTGATGAATCTTATTTTTCGTGATTTGAGGCTTGATATATTTTTTAGAAAATTTTTATTTGTCAATTCCACAACTGAGAGCTTATGCTTTTATAAGCAGTTGAGTGCAAAGAGCACTGGACTGGGACTCAGGAGACTTGGAGTCTAGTCTTTTCTCTGACAGTTTCTATTGTGTCTGTGGGCAAGACACTTAACCTGTCTGGTTCCATTTTTCTCATTTGTAAACTAGGTGGGATTGGGTTAGATGATCTCTTAAGACCCTTTTAGCTCTAAATATAGCTAATTCACTACATAAAAATGTGCCAGTGGTATTTGTGCTGACTCATTCGAGGCACGTGAGTATTCTTGTTTCAAAAAGCTGAGTTGAGGACATCTGGGTATATCAGCATTATTTTCTATATTCCAGTTAATTTGCACCTAAAGTAAGATCTTATCTTTTTAGTTTAGTAGTTGAATAGTTGAGATTGTTGGATTCAAACTTCTAAGAGGTTCCATTGTAACACCTCTATTTAATTCAATTCAGAATGCAGTTACTAAGTGTCTGTTGTGTACCCAGCTTTGTACTATGTTCTTTATCTTTAAAGGAGTGAAAGATCTGTTTTTTTTTTTTGTTTCTGACAACAGTTGTCCTGTTTTTAAAAATGTGGTCTGGAGGAAGTTAACTTAATTCAAAATATGTATGAAGTATAAATTTTATAATTTTTTTTTTGTGTGAGGAAGACCAGTCCTGAGCTAACATCCGATGCCAATCCTCCTCTTTTTTGCTGAGGAAGACTGGCCCTGGGCTAACATCCGTGCCGATCTTCCTCTACTTTATATGGGATGCCACCACAGCATGGCTTAACAAGCGGTGCGTCGGTGCGTGCGTGGGATCCGAACCAGGGAACCCCGGGCCGCCTCAGTGGAACGAGCGTACTTAACCGCTTGTGCCACCGGGCCGACCCCTAAATTTAATAATTTTTAAAGGAAATTTTCAAGTACAATTTTCTCTACTTGTCTGTTGTTAATGGTTATTTCGGATCCAAAATTTAAGAATTTTCAGTAAGATTTAGCTCTTGAGCTTCTTGAACTTTTTGACAAGTCTCTGACTCAAAGATATGATGTTCATTACCGTTTCGAGTGCTGCTGTCTCCTCCTTTACAGCTCACACCTTCCATTTTAAACTTAGCAGGAGGGACTGTGTTCCTTGCATTTGCACTTCTTCTCTGAGGAAGGAAAGCTCACTGTATCCCTTCTTCTTAGTGCTATCATTCGATATTCTCTTTTTAAAATTGACTGTAAGATGGAGGGATGTGATATAGGGATAACAACAAGAAATGAGAAATTTAATTCTGTTTTAGTTCAGGGTCAGCCATATGAATGCCTTTCTTTTCCTTGTTTAAGGTTCTCTTAGAAGCACAAGATATGGCAGTGAGAGACCACAATGTGGAATTCAGATCCAATTTATATATAGGTAAGATCTTTAATATTCTTAGCATTGGAAAATGTCTTCCAATAGTGATGCCAAGTTCTTTATCTAATAATAGTCTTTGATATCTAACTACTTAGCACTAGGTTTGCCAGTGAAAATTGCTGGTAATAGCTTATTCTTCAGCCTTCAGCATCCTAATGTTAGTCTGTTGCAAATGGTAATAACCTTACTGCTTAATTGTTACCTGTTCTGTAATGAGACAGAGATCATGAACCTACTGCTAATAATTATTAAATAATGGATACCAAGATGGTACATAGAGTGGTCCTTTAGTCATAATAAAACTAAAAAAGAATGTAACTGATTTTTTTTTAAATGAATTCTTTGTCAACCTGAAGGAGATAAATAAAGGATTGTAGATGGACTTGAAAAATCTTTATTTGTCTTTATTTCTAATGTGCTAAGCTAGGTGCCTAATCCATAAAGGTCCTATAATTTAATCTTCCAATTACTAGAATGGAACATCTGTTGAATTGTAAAAGCCAAGGGGCCTTGGATGGCTCAGATGACCCAGATGTGTTTGCTCCCCTTTGTTATTACATCTTGAAGTATTATCTCTGGTTTTGTATGCTTGTTCCATGTCAAATTAAATTAATGTAAGTGAAAATGCTTTGGGAAGCATGATGCACTGTACAAATGTAAGGGATTTTTTTTGTAGCATACCTTCACACAGCTCTTTTTCTAGGAAGAGATTGTTTGTTACAAAGCTCTCTTGCCCCCTCCAACACTACAGTAACGTGGAGCAGTAGTTTGAGTTAATGTTTTCTTCTCACTTCAGCAACAATTATTCCTAACCTCAGCGGTTTTTTAATCAAACAAAGATGTTGATGTTGAAGCAAAATTTTCTCACGCCAAACCTACATGTAAGGACTATTTTATCTAAAGATATTTTAAATCTGAGGTATGGAGAACTGCTACTCTCCAAATGGAGGAAAAAAGGCTTAATCATTGTTGGGGAAATTAGTTGTGCCTTGTAATTTTTCAACAGAGTAAAATAAAATCATCTAAATTCTGCTTTGTCACATCACCTCTGCCCTACTGGAGATATTTATTCTGGTTAAGTTAAAATCTCCCCTCAATTCACCTGGAATTGATGCTGGCAACCATACCTACTTCTGAAATTCAAATGAGTTATGATTTTCAATTGAAATATCTTATTTTAGAGCTGAATCTTGTATACCTAATTATATTCTGCCACATGCATAGATGCAGAGGGAAATCAAAATGGCAACTCAGAAGATGCAGGGCCACGGGAGTTAATCGTAAGAATTTTCTTCTGGGAACAGCATGAATAAATAATGCTGGGAGGGCCCAGAGTTGTTGGAAGAGATGAAATGGATGAAGAGCAAGGCCATTTGCTTAAAACCTCTGGTGACCTTTCCTGCTCTATGACTGAATATCAAATCAAATTTACTGAATTTTATTCAATTTCATAGGAATACAGGCTTGTTAGCTGACAGACAACACTTTAGAATGGAATTCAGATACAAATGGAGTTTGTCTTTAAATCGTTTTCAATAATTGTAGTAAGGAGAGACCGGGTAAGGAGCTTAATCCTGTCTTCCCAAATGAAGGAGCACAGTCCAGTGTTGCTAGTAAGCAAAAATAAACTCAACCAGTCCTATGTGAATGGGCCTTTAATTCATTGATCTCCTTAGCACATTTCTGCTGAAAAATCTCTGCCCTACCTGCACCTTTTTTTTTCTTCTAGTTCTATGTAAAAATCTCCTTTGTTGAGTATGACTGATAAGTTTGCATTTGTCTTATGATTTTAAAAACTCGTTTGCTAAGTGTATTGCTACCCAATTCCATTATGAAGGAAAAAGAGATGAGTACCCTTAGGAACATGAAGTATCTTACCATGACATCAGACATTTTATCCCTATATTTGCCAAACTTCCCTGATAAGAATCATCTGAGGTTCTTATTAAAATACATATTCCCAGGCCTCACCACAGACCCACTGGATCTGAAACCCCAGAGGAGAGGCCTGGAAAGCTATTAATAAACAAGTATCCTAGTGATTTTTATCTATAAAATGTGGGAAACTAATTTATCTCATGGAAAAGGCCTAGACATTTCATTCCATAGACTTCTTTTAGAGCTTTGAAAGACTAGTTACTTGTTGGCTACCATTTTGGCTCAGCAATGGCTGTTTTAGTCCCCTGAAATAAGTAAGTATAGGATTTTAAGGGAAGTGCTTTTTTGGTTGCATGTGTTCTCATTATATGGTAATTCCTTCAAATGCCTGTCATCAGGCTAAAGCTAATACCTGGTGTTGTGTGACCACAGATTTTGAAAGTTCATTTCCTTTTCAAACTTACAGTGATGACTAATGACACTGTGAATAGGCCTTAACAAGTGGACATGGACTAATGAAATGTCACTGCTTAGTGATTCATGGCATCTAAAGTGATTCCCTTTAGGGAAAGTGATTGACTGACTTTTGTAAATCAGTCTTCTGGGCTAAGAATGATGAAGTGGGGAGGAGAGGGTGTCTAATGTTAAAATGTCAAGATTCACATTCACCTAAATACTAGTAATAGGAAATATTGACAATAACTTAAATACATGGTACCTCTTGGGCATTATCTTAAGAAGGTTGTTTCCAGTTTTGAGATGTCTTAATGTTTTTTTCTTTCATTCAAAAAGTATTTGAGTACCTTCAATGTGCATACTCCTCACACAGTTGGGTGATAGTACATCTTTTATAGCAATTTAAAATGTTTAGCACATGTAGTTTTGTTCTTTGACAGTAATAGTTCTTTGGAAGAATATATAAATTGTTCTGAGTTGGAACAAAATCATGTACACTGTTAGTATTTTATGTACTTCGAAAACTTTGAAACTCATTTTAGAATTTAAGCAAATTTACCACAAACATCTGGTATTGAAAAAATGACATTAATTAGCAGAGGATGTATTTCAAAATTATTTCTCTTCCTTGTGGAACATGAACTTTTGGGGCAATACAAAAGGAGTACAAGTTTGGTTGAGGAAGTAACTTTTACACATGAAACATAAACACTTATGTAAGATAGCATATGATTTGAGACCAAAAAGAGTAATACAGATAAATGGTATTGTCAGAGTAGAGAAGAGTAGGTCAATATGGGTTAGAATTGTCATGGAGATTTTCTAGCAAAATTTGACTTTTGAAGGTAGGCTTTTGGGGATCTGAAAGAGTGTCCAAGAGAAAAGATTTTCAGAGTGAGATAACCATACAAGCAAAGGCACATAGGTTGGAGTGAACAATAATTGTGTAGTACATGAGTAGAATAGTGTGAAGGAAGTAGAGGGTTGAGGTAGAGTAGATAAAATTGAAAGGGTGGATTGGGCTGGATTCCAGAGGGCTGAACATGGCAGGCTGTGGCATTTGGTTCAGACTGTATTGGAGAGGAACCATGAGAAGTTTTGGGACGAGATTTATGTTATTAAGACAGTGTTTTAAGACTATTAACTGTAAGTAGTGGTTTTGAAATTGTGCTGTGAGGCCTCCAGGAGTGGGGCCTGGGGCAAGCAGCAGCGCTCTTGATATCTTGGTCACTGCTGTATCCTTGCAGCCCAGGATAGAGCCTGGCACCCCATTGGAACTCAGAAATAATTGTTGGGTGAATGAATGGCACAGTTTGGATCTCTCCCCACCATGTTTCAGTCAGGACAGATCCACACTACAGACGGCTTCTACATGTTGTTTCATTTTAATTGAAATGGTTCCATACAAAAGCGGTTTGAACTCTAACATACGGAATTAGTGGAGGAGAGACTGGAGGAGGGGAGACTAGAAAACAATTTGGAATCTATACTCTTAAGTCCTAATTTCATTCAGACCTCAGAGTAGCTGTGTAGTGTGTTAAAGAATACTGTGTAGTGTGTTAAACATTAGTGTTTCAGAAGAATTAATGTTTTTGTTTTGACATAAAAAAATGATGGCATTATGTGCCATAAGGTAGGCAGATGATATTTTATGGCTTTAGGATGAAATCCTGACTGGCAGTTAGCAGGTATTGAATCTGCTCTTATGTGTTTGGGGGAAGATGGAAGGAAAAGGGTAGTTAACATAGACGCTGATGGGGTTGATCATTGTATTTTGGTAGGTTATATAGTGCTGCACAGTCAGCTGGTTTTAATACTTCTTTCACTGGAGTAGTGTTCCTTATCCTCAGAGTATTTGGAAATTGGTGCTCAAGTTGAGTAGAGTCGTAATTTTCGATGGAAGCAGCCATTGTGTTTGTAAAATGCTTTTTAGAAGTTTTCTACACTCTTCCCAGGTGTTGGTATTCTTGTTTGTAGGTTTCCTCCTGACGGGTGGATCTAGAAACCAGGGTGGTACTTCATTATAAAATGATTTGTATAATGCTGCTTTCTCTTTGGAAATTCTTAAGCATATTTCTCTAGTGCCCAGTAGATGAAGTTGATGTAAGGGCCGTAGCTCTTTCCTTATCTCACTGAGACCCTAGGCAGTTTTCTTTTTTTTTTTTTTTCATATAATTTTTATTTATTTATTTTTTTCCCCCAAAGCCCCAGTTGATAGTTGTATGTCATAGCTGCACATCCTTCTAGTTGCCTAGGCAGTTTTCTTAATCACTCATCCTTAGCTTTCTCTTTGGCAAAGCTGGGGTGCTTCTGCTGAAACCCATTTCAGGATTGTAGTTAGAGGGTTGTCAAGCGCATAGTTTGATATAGTCCCTGTATTTATAAAGTCATGTCACAGTAAGAATATAAGAATGGTGAGTACTGAAGTGGATTAATTTGAAATGTATTCTATAGATTTTGCCTTTTTAAAAGGCTTATTAACTTAGTAACTGACTAAATAAATTCAGAAAATAGTAGAAGGTGGTTACTACTCTGACATACTATGGGTAAACAGATTTCTTCTTATGTACTATTTAAAAGATTTCTTCAGGGGCCGGCCCAGTGGCGTAGTGGTTAAGTTTACGTGCTCCGCTTCAGTGGCCCGGGTTTTGCAGGTTCGGATCCTGGGCACGGACCTATGTACTGCTTATTAAGCCATGCTGTGGCAGGCATCCCACATATAAAGTAGGGGAAGATGGGCACAGATCTTAGCCCAGGGCCAATCTTCCTTAGCAAAAAGAGGAGGATTGGCAGCAGATGTTAGCTCGGGGCTAGTCTTCCTCACCAAAAAAAAAAAAGATTTCTTCAAATTTTACAAGGTCAGACTTTGACATGCAGAATGGGGGAGGGGAGATGAGGGGCAGTTGTAATGCAGCAGTTCCTAAAACTGGCCGTGAATCAGAATTACTGAGGGAAGAAGGGGGTGGGTGGTGTTTGCTCAGAATGTAATTTCCAAGGCCTATCTCAAATATGCTAAGTCAGAATCTCCAGAGATGTGGTCTCAGCATCTGCATTTTAAATATGTTTTCTAGATTAGTCTAATGTAGCTAGCCTGAGGACCAGCATTTGGGAACCATTGGTTCCAGTGGCTTCTCATCACAATTAGAATAAAATCAAAACTCCTTACTTTAGCCTACAGGGCTCTTTGTCATCTTGCCTTCATCTCTAGTCTCTTTCCTTTGTTTGTATCACCCTTCCCCTGGCTTACCGTGTTTCAGCAGGCTGGTCTTCTTTCTGTTCCTAAAACAAGCCAGACACATTTGCACCATTGGGTCTTTGCCCTTGCTGTTCCCTCTGCTTGGAATACCCTGCCCCTAGATATTTGCATGGATGATTCATTCTGGTCTTAGATCAAATGTGTCTTCCTCAAGAATCTCTTTTGACACCCCCCCCAATCTGAAGTTGCCCCCAACACCCCCTCGTTCTCTGTCATGTCGCTGTTTTACTTTATTCATAGTGCTTGTCACTAACTGAAATGATCACGTGTATTTTTTGTCTTTCTCCTCTAGAATCTATACTGCATGGAGGCAGACCACCCTTGCTAGTCTTGTTCATTCTTGTTTCTCCAACACCTAGAATAGATCCTGGTCCTTGATAAACTCAGGAGATATTTGTTTTGAGACAAGCCTGCCCTAGGCAGCCAGTGAGCTCATATAGTCATAGAATCCAGTTGAGGAGAGGACAGAAATTGCTCAGCTGATTGAGCTGTAGTCTTGTGGATACAGTCATTTCCTATAATTCTCTTTTTCTTCCCTGTCTAGCTGAGTCCACCTCAGGGCGAGGCCAGTACCTGAAACGCATCCGATACCACGGCAGAGGTCACTTTGGGATCATGGAGAAAGTTTATTGCCATTATTTTGTGAAGTTGGTGGAAGGCCCCCCACCTCCACGTGAAGCACCAAAGACAGCAGTTAGCCACGCCAAAGAGTATATTCAGGAGCTGCGAAACCGGACCATCATTCACACTCTATGATGGGGAATTCAGACTCCACAGTGTATATATTTTTCCATTTATTTCCTAAAAACAAACAAAAATTAAAGACAAATGCTTTTTATGATTTGACATCAAATTATTGCAATATGAAGTATAATTGCTAGTTTTATATGAATATTTATAAGGCTTTGTCCATCTCTCTTGAGGCTTTGGATATATGTATGCATTTGCAACTTGGAAGGGGAAATCAGTTTTAAATATAGTGACAGACTGTAATTCAGAAGGCTTTTTTGAGTGCCTTTTGAAGGGAACGTTAACTTTCCAACTAGTGTCCTGCAGGTGGCAGTTTTGACACCGGACTTGAGTAGAACGTTATAGGAGAAGAAAGCTTGTCTTTATTTCCCTCGATTTTCTCTTGGGCCCGGGGTGGTGAGCGTGGCTGCATGTTGTTTCATTGCAGTGTTTTAGATTCTGTGATTTTGTTTTTCCTTTCACTGTTGGCATAGGCCAATGGGTGAGGGATTATGTTTTCCTTTACCGTTTTAGCAGTAACTTGAAATTACAGGAGTTTGTGAGATGTGTAAATCTAAAATTCCAAAAGCCTTTTAACTTAGAAGTTTTCTTGTAGTTAAATAAAGACTTTTCATGTCTCCTTCCGACAGTGCTTTCTATTGCTTGGATATCTTGTTTAGGATGGATTCGTTTTTCAAAGTGAATTCAATTACTGAGAGAGGAATGGAACCAATCTCAGCACTGCATTCTAGAATAAGGCAGTAGGTGGCACTCACTCACCTCTTGTGAGCCGAAAATTGTTAGTATTAGAGTGTTCAGCACTACCTGGCTCTCAATGATACATGTGTTTTCTTTGACGAGAAGCACCCTGTCTACAGTCCTAGTCCAGTGTTACTCAAATTTTTGTATGCAGAGAAAGAACTTGCTTGTTAATGCAGACTTCTGGGTCTTGCCCCAGTGATTGTGATTCACTAGGTCTTGTGAGGGGCTAGTTCCAGAAATCTATGTTTTCAACAAGCGCTTCCAGGTGATTCTGTTGTGGGGGACCACACTTTGAGAACACTCCTCTAGTCAAATGAAGAATGTAGTTTCAGTGCCGTGTTTTAAGATGCATTAATAATAGCTACTATTTACTGAGATCTCATTATTTGCCAAGCTCTGTGCTGGTATTTTACATAACTCTTCACAACATCCTGCAAACATCGGTCTTGTTTTGCCACTTTATAAAGGAAGAAACCAAAGCACACAAAATTTGATTAACTATCTCAGGGTCACACAGCGTGTAAATATTGGAACTGTGATTTAAACTAGGTTTCTAAAGTACCTGGTTCTGCATACCTAATGGATATACAGATGGGTTTTTGTGCCTCTCCATTTACCCTAACGCTTGGGTAAAAAGGCAGAGGGCTCAGTGGAATAAGCTACTGAGGGTTAGGACAGATTCATTCTGGGTCCTAAGTGGTTGTAGCATGGAATCATGGAAATAACACTGGAGTGGTAAAAGGCGACCTTCGTTGTAGTCCTGGGATACTCATTAACTGGAAAGAAGACCCTGGGCAGGTCCTTTTTCTCCCTGGCCTCCATTTCATTCACCCATAAAACAAGAGGCTCAGTCTTCTCTGTAGACCGCTTTCTTCAGAATTGCTTGAAGAACTTGTTTAAAAATGCAAGTTCCTGGGCTCTACTCTCAGACTCAGTTTAAGCTGGAATCTGATGTGGGAGACCAGGGGACTTGCAGTTTTAACAAGTGCCCTGGTGGTGTGCATGCTGGAGAAGCAGTGGACCAGAAGGTCTCTGTGCTCTCTTTCAGTGCAGATGCTCCATGATTCTTGGTCTCGAAGTTTTGATTTCCTCCGGTATGACTAAAACAAGCCAGGTGGTGATATGGACGTCATAACTATAAATTATGTAAATGAAGGTATGGCTTCAGTCAGGCTGTTAAAACTATTTTGAAAGAGTTAAGCACAAAACAGACTTTGGATTCTAATGAAGAAACTTTGCTTGTGATCTCAAGTTAAGCCTTCATTTGGAACTGCTGCTGGTGTGTTAAAAAATCTAATAATAGCTTACATGTAGCACTATGTACCTAGCACTATTTTAAGCACTTTATACAGTAGTCCTCCCTTATCTGTGGCTGTGCTTTCCACTGTTTCAGTTACCTGCGATGAACCGTGGTCCAAAAATATTAAATGGAAAATTCCAGAAATAATCCATAAGTTTTAAATTGCGTACCAGTGTCCTGAGTAGCGTGATGAAATCTCACATTGTCTCTCTGTCCCTCTCCATCCCAGCTGAGATGTGAATCCTCCCTTTGTCCAGCGTATCCACGCTGTCTACACTACCCACCCGTTAGTCACTTATTAGCCGTCTTGATTATCAGATCGACTGTCGCCATATCACAGTGCTTGTGTTCAAGTCACCTTATTTTACTTCATAATGCCCCAAAGCACAAGAGTAGTGATGCTGGCAATTCGGATATGCCGAAGAGAAGCCGTAAAGTGCTTCCTTTAAGTGAAAAGGTGAAAATTCTCAATAAGGAAAGAAAAAAAATTGTATGCTGAGGTCACTAAGATCTATGGTAAGTTTTATTACAGTATATTGTTTTAATTGTTCTATTTTATTATTAGTTATTGTTGTTAATCTCTTGCTATGCCTGATTTATAAATTAAACTTTATCATAGGTATGTATGTATAGGAAAAAACATAGTATATATAGGGTTCAGTACTATCCATGGTTTCAGGTATCCACTGAGGGTCTTGGAACGTATCCCCTGTGGATAAGGGGGGACTACTGTATACATTATCTCAATTAATGAATCTTTCACATTATGACTGGTGCAGAGTACATCTGGTTAGTTTCCATGGCTGAGAGCGCTCTTTCTAACATAAATGAACATTTTGATCCCCACTTGAAGTTTAATGTACATGTTCAGGAACTGTCAATTATTCTTTAATGGCAATCTCTAAATGCTTATAATTTCCTCCTTTCTTTGTTGGAGTGTAGCACATTCAGAAAGTGCAATCACAACTGTATAGCTCAGTAAATGATCAATTGGTGAACATGCCCAAGTAACCAGGTGAAGAAATAGGGCATGATAGCAACCCTGAAGTCCCCTTCATGCTCCCTCCCAGTCACTACCCATCTCTCTTCCCCAAAAGTAACTACTATCCTGACTTCTAACATAAGATAGATTTTTTAAAAAATGGTTAGCTTTTTTTTTTTTTTAACTCAACATAATTTATTGGGCAACCATTATATGCCTGGCACTGGGGATATAGGCAGTGAAAGTGGAAACAGCCCTGCCCCATGGAGCTCACAGTGATGAGAAGGACGGACTGTAATCAGTAATTGCAAGTGTTGACTGTGCTGAGTGTCATGAAAGTCGAGGGATGGGGCTATGGGAGCAGACATCAGGGTGCCCTGAAAAATAGTTACTGGATTTTGGGGAAAGTTTATTTCCTTAAAGAGATATAATGAGGGAAAAGTAAAAATGACAAATGCTGTGTGGATCAGTAAAGAGTTGTGTTATCAGAATGCCAACTTGGGTTTTGTTTTTAACAATATGAACACCAGAACCACTTCATCCTTGCACGAGTTAAGATGTATATGGGATGTGTGCCGTGGATGGGGAATATACTGTTTTTGGAGCTGACTCAGATTTACCCAACTTTATAACGCTCCAGCTAAGCCCAGGGGAAAGACATGTGGAGTGTACTGCAAACATTGCAAAATAAAATAGATGTATTTTTCTGTCAGTGATGAAAAATAATTAGATTTTTTTCCATGCATTTCGTTTTAATACAGAGGATGTAATAATAATTTTAGTTGAATAGGAGGGGCTCAATCACGTGTGTGGGTTTAAAACAGGGAATGTTTTTGGAGTAGGTGAGCTTCCAGACAGATTCCAAAGCAGGAAAAAGTTGCATAGGTGACATTATTAACACCTCCAGGAATAGGCACCTCTTCTTAAACCTCTGTCTCTGATGTAACTGTTTAGAGTCATATCTCTACACGAGAGAGGTTCTGGACTTTATTCTTAAACCAGCCTACTGTGAATTCTGTTAATATGTAGCTTAGGATGTATCTGTTAACAGAATCACAAATATGTTGGATGGAAGAGAGAAAATATTGGTAAGTGAATCATACTTGTGTACTCGAGTAAAATATTTTTTATGATTGTCCAATAGGGACTTGAATGAGTTATTTTCACTTACAGCCCAAGGAGACTCATAAAAATTGCACTTTATAAAGTGGGAGATGGCAGTATTAATATCAAAAAAAGTGAAATTTAAGGAGAAGACATTAAATGAACCTAAAACGGTTGTTCAGTGCACATATGGACGAACACATTCTGCAGTCAATTTGAGAAAATTTCTAAACCTTCTGAAGGTCGTCTATAAGTTCCAAGTATTCAAAGTGGACCCCAGGGTAAGAAATTCTGATTTAAATGATTGAAGTTCATTTATCTATCTGGCCACAGTTCTTTGCTCTTTCCCCGTATCCATGCTCTTGACTGTGATTTTGCAGCTCCTCTTATTAACAGGTGGAGGCTGTTCCGACCTCTTGAATTTAAGCTGACTTTGTGACTTCTTTAGCCAACAGAATTTGGCAGAAGTGGCAGTTTACAGGTTTTCAGCCTAGGCCTTGCTTGCTTCCTCTTTCTTTCTTGGATCTCTGCTTCTGCCATGTAAACAAGCCCAGACTAACCTGCTGGAGGGTGAGAGACCACGTGGAAGAGAGCTCTGGGCCCCCAGCTTACAGCCAGCCAACCACTGAAGGAGAGAGAGCACAGCCGCCTACACACCCAAAAACTGATTACAGAAGCATATGAATGAGCCCTGTTGAGACTAGAAAAACCACCACAAACTGACCTACAGACTCATGAGGAATAATAAATTCTTATTGTTGAAGCCGCTGAGATTTGAGGTGGTTTGTTACATAATAATAGCTGTGATAAATATTTGAAACTTTGTACCTTATAGAGAATACCTGTCCTTTTCAAGTGGCTGTAAGAAGTTCTAAAATTGATTCTAGGCTTATCACAAAGAAGACCTCAGTAGATTCTTCCAAATAAGAATTATACAGACCACCTTTTAAAATTATACTGTGCT